TGTATGCGCTATATCTCGCGTTCCCAGCCAGAGTTAGTAATGGTCAGTTTGGTCAGTGACGTTTGACGAAAACCAAAAATAAATTGTCGCGGTACAAAAACCATCATTTCCATACATCCTTCGTCACTGACGAAGAGAAGCCGCCAATAATCCCTTTGAACAAATCCTATCGCATCTTTTACCTTCACTCCTCTTTTTTTCTATCATGCATGGACATGGATGGACATGAATACTCTCCGAGTAACCGACAGATCTGAGAGAGAGATAACGTACTGAGCTAGTTTTTTTTTCACGACTTAAATGAAAGAGGACTGTCTTCATACGAAATTTGTAATGCGCTGCTTGGAGTGCGACGCAAATAGTAATACCATATTTTTCATCACTGACTTTGCTCTCTCTACGTTGATGCTGGACAGCCCTGTTCCCAGCCTTTTAAGAAGTTGCTATCTTATAGCGAATTCGTTTATTATTCAGTTCCAACCTGGATCGGGTATCAAGATTGGGTCTGCTTGTTTTCTGACAAACTTCAGTTTGCTCGTTTGTTTTTAAAACCTAGCTCAGGTTGAGGTTCACACTGACACTGACAATTCTCAAAATATTTGAATTCTGTTTTTTATTTTGTTGATTAATTATATTTTCAGGTCTTAAAAGTCCATGATTGTGTATATTATTTTAAATCGAATTGAAAAAAGTCCTAAAATTTCCCAACAATGTTAATGTCTGGGATCTCGAAGTTTGAGCCCCAGAATTATGGAACCTATTCTTGTGAATGTATTTATATAGCCATTCCATAGCAAAACGATATAGTGGTTCTCAGAATTTCGTTTCGTGTTTTTTTTTGTGGCTTATGGTTTTATAGAATGATTCCTGATCAAACTGAAATCTTGAACAAATCTTTTAAGGACTTTTAGGTGATTTCTGATCATCTGAATGTCTTTGATATAATTTTTGGGCAACTTACTATTTGAGAGAATACATGTGAGAAATTATTGTGTATGATCACTTGGAGTTATTTGAAATAATTTCCTAGCAACTTGTTATTTGAGAGAATATCTGCGAGATGTGATTTGAATTAATTGAACTTTGTCTAAGATAGTAAATCGATTTGACCTCTGGGCAAAAAGTATTATTATTTAACGTTTGGTCAAGTGCATACCTAAAGGGTGTCCCACATAAAATTGCATCACGGAAAAAAAAACGCTGTAGAAAATTACCCATTGGGTATTTTATCTTGAAAATTTGGGTAGATGTAGTTTAGAGTGTATTGTTTACACTGTATTTTTTTATCGCTGTCAGTTTTTCGAAAGGTTGGAAAAAATGGGGTCACCCGAAAAGCAACGTTGCGAATTAATTTTGCGCAAGCACCTGAAAAATCCTCAACTCTCTCATCGAGACATCGGAAAACAATTCGGAATCGTGCAGTGATTAAACGTTACTACGAAACTCTGAGCACCGAACGGAAGGAGAAATGCGGTCAGAATGGATGTTCTATTAGTGATCAGGATCACAAGCGTGTCGTTAAAGTGTTTAAGCGGAATCCCAATACTTCGGTCAGAGATGTGGCCAAAAAGGTGAATCTGTCCAAGTCTTTCGTGCAGAGAGCCAAGGACTGGGAGTATACGTATACGTACAAAGTGCCGAAGACTCCAAATCGTGACGTCAAGGCGGACTTCCGGCAGCTTCCAGGGCTACTGTTCTTCACCGCCCAGCACAAGTTTGATGTTCCGGAGGAAGTAAGGAAGCATAAACTTTCAACGTTTGCCAAGAAATACATGATTTGGCAAGTGATCTGCTCATGTGGCAAACGGAGTACGCCGTTCGTGACTACCGGGACTGTAAACGGGGAGATCTACCTCAAGGAGTGTCTACAGAAGCGTCTGTTTCCTCTGTTGAAGCAACACGAGGGCCCTACGATCTTCTGGCCGGATCTAGCTTCGTGCCACTATTCAAATGTTGTCCTGGAGTGGTACGAAGCCAACGGGGTCACTTTCGTACCCAAGGAAATGAACCCCCCCCCCCCCCCACCCCTAAAGTAGCGGAACTAAGGCCCATCGAGAAATACTGGGCTATTATGAAGCCGGCACTATGGAAGCATCCCAAGGAGGTCAAATCTGAGGAAGACATGAAGAAAAAGTGGGTTTCCGTACAGAAGAAGCTGTAGCCAGATGTTGTACAGAACCTAATGAGTGGAGTTAAACGTAAGGTGCGAGCGTACGGTTATGGTATTGAAATAAATATGCCAAAATGGGTTATATTTTATTGTCTGAAAGTTTGAAAAGGATCGGTAAACAAGGTAATTGCTTCGGTTCGAGACGTGTCTAAAAAAGTGGGATCTTCGAAGAGTAACGTCCAGCCGGCCAAGGCAAGAATGGGTCTAAAGACGTATAAGAAGCAGAAGAAGCCAAAGCGGAGTGAAAAACAAGCCGCATCCGTCAAACCGAGGGCTCGGAAGTTATACGACCAATTGCTGTGTGGTGGACGAAGAATCATACATTAAATTTGATTACAAAACACTTCCTGATGATCAGTACTACACCGTTCTTCAGGGCAATCATCAACAGACGACGCGGATAAGTCGATTTTTCACCGAAAAATTCGGTAAAAAGGCTATGGTTTGGCAAGCCATTTGTGAGTGTGGTATGCTTTCCAAATCGTTTGAGACAACGGATACAATGACATTTGATGTTTACGTGCGTGAGTGTTAAAACAAGCGTCTGTTACCCATGATCCGCAAACATGATGCCTCAGTACTTTTTTTTAGGCCGGATTTGGCGTCGGTTCATTACTTCAAGGACACGGTAGCCTGGTATAAAGCCAACAAGGTCCAATTCGTACCCAAGGAGATGAATCCGCCAAACTGTCCCCAAAATCAAAATCTATTTGGGCCCTGACCAAAGCTTCCCTAATAAAAATTGTATGGTTAATTTGCTTAACGACGTGTTCTGGGTATCATCCAAACCATTTGTGGAATAGTTCAATGATTTGGGTTGTCGTTCGTTTATGGTTATTTTTTATTAGGGTTTTTTGCGGAAACATGTAAAGGTAGCGGATTCCATTACAAAGTTTGTGTGCTGAAGCTAATGAGTGAGTTCAAAAATTCGCTCCTTGGCTTACGACTGTAAGTCAAACAGTAAGAGAATACTATAGAGAACATGAATACGAAATAAAAATCGAATTTTCTGTGAACAGAGTAACGTTATCGTTTTTTTTTTTAATCGTGCCCAGACATTCTGGGACACCCTATATAGTCCCTTCTATGTCCGAGGTTTGGTCAACAATGAGCTATTTTTAATTTTTGAAAGTATCTGAACAGATTTCCTCCATTTCCCAGACATTTTCTCACACAAACTTTAGAGCTCTCCTGCAAATCCATTGCACAGTCAGTTTCTAACCAAACGAGTTCAAATTTTGGGAGGCTAATTAGCACCCAATTTGGAACCGTCTGTGCACTATGAAGTGATTTCTTTTTTAATTTTGCATCAGTCTAATGCACAGCCAGAACAAACAAGGAAAGCTAAAAAGTGGCTATTTCTACGGAAATATTTTACTAGCCTGAAACGTTTGCATTTTCCCCGTTGTTGCAAGGAAACTATGTTGGGCAACTTTTCATCCTGCAACTAGACTATAGCTACACGTTTCGAAAATACCTTGTCTCCTCGATAGGAGGAAAAGCTCTACGCGATCCTTGGCAAATCATGACTCGGGCGATGATAGACTGCGCACAACTTTTAGTCATTATTTGCTCTAGACCCGGCAGCTGCATCGACGACGACGTGCGGAAAAATAGTTTGCAATGTTTTCCCAGCCACAGCACCACTAACAGTCATAACTTATACAATCATGACGACGCGTTCTCCGCTTCTATTGTCACACCCAGACCCGTTGCGTTGTGGATGAGCAGTGCTTTCACTACTAGCCAGGACCAACTTTTTGTCACCAGTAAGATCGTCCGTCGCGTGGGGAGGGACAAACTGTAATTTAAAATACGAATTCCTGCTCACACAACAGCAGGAAGCTTCCTAAACACGGCAAAACTGCTCGAGTCAAATTTCGATTTAGCTGCTTGTCAAAGGCACCATCACCGTTCACTATCCCGGAAACTTCCGCATTCTCTGGAAGCTATTAATTTTGCTGTTTGGCTGCGGATGTTATTTCCGCGACGATGTGCCAACGCAAGTTAGACACGAACGAATGGAAAGCTACTATCTCTTGGGAAAGCAAATCACAGTAAAAGAATATTCGAACTGCTGGGCCCGGTGGTGAGTGAGATGTTTAAGGTGAATTGGACGTTTATTCAGGATGGCCTTCCTTCCGCGCACAATTTGTTCTTCTCTGTTTCTGGTAATTTGCTCCTTTTTATAGAGCGGTGTCAATTTGCGAAACAGTGCATAATTTCGGCGTCATCGTCCGTCCTCCTCACGAGATGAAGATGGCAAGAAAATTGTGCAAATTGTTTCTCTTCCGGGAAGAAGCCGACAGGATGATTTATACGCTTTTGATTTTGCGCAATGATAATGGGAAATTATGTTTCTTTCATTTCCGAAAATAGCAGGGGGTCAAGGTGCTATAGTACAATTTACTGGCAATCGCTGTGTTACTTGTTTCCAGTTTTTTTTTACTTAGAAAAATGTGACAACAGAGATATTTTTGTGGATTTAATTTTCGTTTATTCTGTTATCGTTAAATAAAGAAGTACCTTCCGATAGCTAAGCATGGTACCTACAGCTTCGTATTTTGTGCGATCGAGGATCTACTGTCCCACATGAGCGATGATTCTTCTAAGGTGACCAACTGCTCAATTTTCTCCTAATCAGAAGTAATGAAACATTGATGATTCAACTCTTATACTTTGTGCATCGCCCTCAAAAAGGGAACCTTTTTATTGTAGAACACAAGGCTATTCTTTTCATACAATTTCGATGGTGATCCATTTCTCTGAACTAGCATTACTTGCAACAACGGAAGCATTAATTAATTTATTTCCTATCTCTCCTTCCCAGGACATTGCCGCGTACATCAAGAAAGAGTTCGACAAAAAGTACAACCCCACCTGGCACTGCATCGTCGGCCGAAACTTTGGCTCATATGTCACGCACGAAACGCGCCACTTTATCTACTTTTATCTGGGACAGGTCGCCATCCTTTTATTTAAGAGCGGTTAAGTTGCCAGCAGCTTTAGCAACCAAGCCAGCAGCCGAACAGCAGTCAAAAAGCAGCAGAGAGCGCGTGTTGTGTGGGGTGTATACTGAAAGATGAAGAGAAAGAGCAGAAGCAGCAGTAGCAGCAGCATAGCAGGAAACACATTCTATTTACTATTACTTCTACTATTAATAAATTACAATTATAACATTGCCCAACCAAACACAACAATTACAACAAGTCCGGATGGCGGGGGAAGCAGCTGAGACCGAGAACGCGACTTTGTGATATCCGAGCTGTGATGGCTATGGGAGGAAAACGAGAGAGCGAGCGTGGTCTCCTGGCGGCTGAACCGAGAAATAGAACAAATCCAAGAAGAAGAATAAAAATAAAACAGTGGCAGCAAACTAGAATACTTTTTGAGCAAGAGACGTTCGATTCTTATAGCTATTAAAAGTAAAAACTTTCCGGAACATATATAGAAGAAGAACAAATCAATGAAGACGCAAAATCATTTTTCGAAGCAGAAGAGCGTATATAGATGAAAGGATAGTAGATAAATTGATGATTTGATTCCATGGAAATTTTGATTGAAGCATTATTATTACACTAACCTATTTGGATTTATCTTGATTAGAGCAAATTTATTGAAATTTGTTTTGTTTGTAACGGTACCTACAAATTAAAAACGATGCGTTGAAACGAGTTTGTTTCTTTTTGATCCTACGTGTATTATTGTAATGGATATGATCTTAAGTTTTCTCATGGGAAACAATGAAAAAATAAAATAAATTACGATAGATAAAAAAAAACCTTAAAAGATACGAATTGCTGTTTCATTTACCATCATAGTTGATGAGCTTACTTCGGAAGTTTTAAGTCGCTCCTGTTGCTTCTCATCATTGGGATTACACCTTGTTGGTCCTTGCTGTCATGCGAAATCCTAATTAATCTCCCCCTGTCTTTGTTTTCGTTCATTCAATCCACTCGCTGTTGAAGACCAATCTATCGAATGACGAAAAACCGCCTTCCTTTTTCAAACACCTTTTTCCGGTGGTGAGTATGTGTTCTCTCGTCCTCGAACTCTAGGAGGAACAAGCATCCTGTTACACTGTCCAATGTATGTACGTGTGTACTCCCGTTAGTATAGTAATACAAAAAAAGAGAAGAAAAACGGAAAATAAACTAAAGTGAAAATCAAATTTACTCTGATATATTTGATAGATCACTGTCCAGAAGCGACCAGTTCGTTCGTCACTAGATTTAGTAGTCTACTGCATACAAACATACACAGACATAAACACAGATTGCAGAATTCACGAAGCGTTTAGAGGCAAATTTAACCGTGAGTGAAGTTTACCGAGCAGATTTTTTTGTTATATAACGTTTAAGTTGATTCCACCTCTAAAAGTCCTCGAGAAAACCAGTCAAAGTTATGCTTACTAGAGAGAAGAAAGCACTTGAAAGAAATTTTGCACAGATGGTTCCATAGAATACGGATTAAAATAAAACTTACGGTAAACGCACCAATGGTGGAGATACGTTAGCACAATATATTACTATAATAGTGGCTTATGGCACATTGCACTAACCTCCACTATTGGTGCGTTTACCCTACTTACACGAAATGCATTGTTGGAACACCCTAGGAGTAGGAGAATACGGATTGCACATTATTGCCGAAGTTCAAAACAAACGAGTAACTTAGATCGCAGTCACACACGCAAAATACAAAAAAGAAGAAAAACAAAATAAATCAAGTGAAATCAACCAAAAACGCAGATTTAAATTTACCAAGTCGAATCAATTTATGTACTTCTCATTATTAGCTATATTATATGAATGGAATGAATATTACAGTATTTTTGTGTAAAAGAAAACAAATGCAGACACATGAGAAGAAAAAAAAAACATGCCCAAACAGTCATTGAAGAATAGAAGCTATTAAATGCAAAATGAATCGTATGAATAAAAAAAAAGAGATGAGAAAAAAAAAACAACAGGAAAACACATTTCGAACCAAATGGACTATGGAACTATCGGGATTGTTTTAATTATCCGTTTTTCCCTAAGATGTTAATTGGTTGACTTCCAGTTTTCCGCTTTTATCTTAACTTTCATAGTCGTTTTCTTCTTCATGGCTTCTGACGCTTCTTAAGCGAACCCCACACGTATCAATATATTGACGCCAAGGGGTATCATTGACAATAACATTGATGATGTGAATACAGAAATATTGTCAATATCAATGTACTGACGCCATTGACAATAAAAGCAATCGTGAGTGTTTTTACCTTTTCTTTTGATGTATTCTATTATGGGCAATAAATGACGAAGCATTTTAGATTGACCATGTAGAAAATTACGCTACAAGGCGTTGGGGTTAATTGTTTGTCTACGTTGAATGTAGCATCACCTCCCTTATGTAGCGTATTTATCTACATGGCTGGCCACCCTACAATCTTCCCTAAGTAGAGGAATCGCAGTGTCCGATACTCTATTTTGAAGTCTGTGAAAGGGATTTCTAGATGTGTTGACTACACTTTATTATGTTAAATCTCACGAAAATCAGTTTATGAGTATTTCCCGATAGATGTCGATACAAAGGACAGCTGTGACATGTGATGGGAAATGAATGCAAAAGCTTTACTATATGATTAATTTATTCAAATTTCTCACAGTTGTTGGAGTTACAAATACAAATCGATAAAAGGCACTGCAGACCAGGACATTGACTTGAGTGAGTAGTTGAGGAACTTGTCATCGGTAAAGAAAACTTTCACACCTGTTTAATGATGCTTTATTGTGCCATTTCGTTTCATTATTTAAAACACGTATGAAGGTATAAGTTATCACTTCCATAAATACAAAATCAACTACTCGTAGATTGGCATTTAGCACTGTTGCCTTTGCACAGGTTGTCGGTTCACAATAACCTTCAGAGGTACGGTTTTTTCAGAGGTACTGAGAACACTAAATTTCTATAAGCAAAGGTGGAATATGAGATTCTTCTCCTCAGTTCAGGAAAAAGCTCCGTCACATTTCATGCTCTTTCAATATAACATGATCCATGATTCCTGCTCCGTAGATTCATTGTGTCGTCCTTTGAATATTCTAACTTAGAAACTAAAATAAAATCCTATCTATAGTTCGCTCCGTACGAACTCGTCCCCTTCTACAGTCTACTGCTCTCGGATGGCCTCACGTTCACGATGTTGTGTCCGTTGGTTTTGGGTCCACCGTTGATGAAATCATCCGGTTGGAAGGTATTGTTCTCGTGGCCCATCTCGACCTGATTCCGGTGCTCTTCGGTCACTGGTTCTGGCTTTGGTCCGTCCATGAAGAACATCGTAATGAAGAACAACAAACTACTGATAGCGTAGAATCCAGCGTAGAAGAACATAACCGAGCCTCGGTAGCCTAGCGCCTTAGCCAGCGGGTCAACCAGAATGGGCAGATTACCGCCGATGTTGTTCATCACAAACAGGAACACTCCGATGGTCGTCGAACGGACTTGCAGTGGGACGATTTCAACTAGCACGGCAAACACAATTCCAAACCACATTTCGGCTGAAAAAAATCAAAGTAAAATATAAGTCTATGGATTCCCATATAGTTGTCACTCATAGCTAACTCACCGAAGAAGTAACTGATTCCGAGCGTGATCATCGCCCAAAGTGGTTCAAAGTAGACGGATCCGAATGCGAACGGAGTAGCAATCAGCTGGCTAATGGCCAAACAGGCAACACGTGACCGAATTCCCATCTTGGCCACAACTTTGTCCGAAACGATTCCACCAATCACCACACCGACGCTTCCGATTCCGATCGTCACGGCAAACAACCACCAACCGAGGTCCACATCCGGGAAGTAGATATTGTAGTACAAATCGGCATTGTACGCAAAGGTCATTCCACCACAGTGCCGAATCGAGGCAGCAATCACCAACAGAATAACACGTGGCTGCATCAGTGCCTTCATAAGCGAAACCTTTCCCTTACCGGACGCTTCTTCTCCGATGCTTTGTCGTTCCGGTTCCTTGAGAGTAGTTCCAGTCAGCACTGCCATTATTAGTGCCAATACACCGGTACCGTAATAGCACACGCGCCAACCTAGTCCTCCAAGATTCAGTTTGGTAATGTATCGTCCAACGGGGAACGCAATTCCGTATCCACCGTAGATTCCCCAGTTGAAGATGGCCATCACAAGAGCTCGTTTGCTTTCCGGGAAGATATCGGACATGATACCGGTGGCCAATGGGTTACATCCGGCTTCGCCAGCGGCCATCAACATACGCAGCAGAATCAACTGCCAGTATTTCTTAACGGTTCCTTGCAAAACGATGGCGACGGCAAAGACCAGTGTACACACGGTCAGCATCCGGACACGGTTGAATCGATCCGCTGCGAATCCCAGCACCACACCCATAACGGTGAAGACGGCAATGAAGCTCGGCCCGGCCAACAGTTGGTACTCGAGACCCAGTCCATTGTAGTTCCACTCGCAGTAGACGGTTCCATTGATATGCTGTCCGTGGCATCTGGAATTAGAATGGAATTTAAATGTAAATCAGTTCGATGCGAACAGCAGTATAGAATGGTAGTTGCGAGAGCTTTTATCAAGGGTGCCAGATCTATTTTTCTCTAATTTGTTGATTGTATAGGCTTGTATTATATTTATACTGTTCCAAATTTTTATTCGAAACGCGTATGATTTTAGGTATGATATTTTTGGATTCTTATGCATTTTGCCCAAGCACTGATGATTATGTACACAAGAATCCAGACTTGGAGAAAAACACAAGTGCACAGTAAATTTAAAGAACTTTTAAGGTAACTACCAAAGCACACCAAAGCATGGTCCATTTAAAAACACAAACGAAGTGACAGACGACTAACTGGCGAAGAAATCCATTTAAATAATGTGGTTCACTGTAATAGAATTTTCTTGGAAACTTGTGCCATCATCCACCAGATGGGTTAGTTTTTTTGTTTTGATTTGAACAAAGTTGATTTTGTGTACAATGATTCTTTGACAGTGTTCAAAGAGTGCGTATCATTTTGTCATTTTTTATGCATTTCAGTTTTGAATAGAGTGAAAGAGATAGAACCAAAACATTCTAATACATTTGGTGAAAATGCTAGTACAATCCAGTAGTAGTGGTGTTGCCATGTGGTACACTGAAAAATTGAAATAGCAGGTTAGTCACCAAAGTTTTCGAGCCGCTCCGTCTGTCACTTCGTTTGTGTTTAAAAAGAAAACAAGATAACATTTTCGATTATTACAGCTTGTTATTTTAGGGGACGTATTTGGAAACTTTTGACACGTGTACACATTAGCAATAAGAAACTGTCTCGAGTTAATTAAATTGGGTTCTCTAGACCAGAGACGATGTTTCATAAGAGTCGCGCGAAGACTGAAGCCAAAAGTTCGAATCGAACCGTCAAACGCGGTTCAATCGAGTAATGAAATAAGCACGAGCGCTTCACGAGGAAAGCGTGAGGAGTATTGAGATGGCGGTTGATATTTAATTTTTGAGATTTAAATAATTATCTAGATAATTATAATTGAGTTTGCGTATGAAAAGTTCAATTGGATACTATTTGACTTTTGGAATACAAATACAAGTAAAATCTTTTGAGATTATTTTTTTATATTTACATCAATGTCAAAAAGCAAATATTTTAAAAAAAATACAAAGCTGCTGATCGACTGTCATGTTTTTAATCACTGGATTTATATGGCTGATGAATACCAAGTTAAAACATTTTGAACCTATCATCTAGTTTTATGTGAACATCATTACAGTCTTCAAAAATAGAGATTTGCAATAGCACCATCAAGGTAGCTAACTGGGCTGGAATATTATTGTTATTCACCAGCTGTATTCTCGTTATGTTCTCACGAAATATGCGTTCTAGTGCAACAAAAAACATACCTACACTGTTAGGCTACACACCGGTAATGTTGACCAAAGGGATTTCTCGATTACTTTTTAAAGGGATGTATCTGCTTTTGTAAACAATGCATTTAATCGTCAGTTTAGCGGCGCCGGTGGTGTTGGGGTAAGCGTGATTACCTCTCACCCCAGCAGGCCTGGGTTCAATCCCAGTCAACATCTCTGATAAAGCCGTTGGTCCCCGGTTCATGAGTTGATGGGTTGATAGGTAGAGTCCAGGTGTGGGAGCTGCCTTCCTGGCGTCGGTAGCATTGGTGCTCAGCACGGAAAACAAGATCGACGGAAAAAAACCAAGGGAATCGTCAGTTTAGCGTAACTGGTAGCTCACCCACGCATACTAACACCACTATCAAGCAAAATCGACGAGCAAATGCATTGTTTTCAGAAGCAGATACGTCCATTCGAATAAGAAATAGAGATTTCATTCATACAGGGTAGGAAGCATGAGTTGCAGATTGCATAATTTTGCGCAACGCTTTGTAAAATATCCCCTCCAATGTACACAGAAAAAATGTTGTTGAAAATTAACATCCAAGCAGCTGCATAGAGGTCCTTCCGCTGGTTGTGTAATATTTTGTTGTACGATGTACATCGGTTTTGCCAACAAAATTACATCGATTGATGTAATATTGTATCTGCTTTTTGCTATTACATCATTATTTCATACATCAGCTTGAATTACGTTGATTGATATTACATTTATTTTTGCTGTGTAGTATATTTGGTTTCACTCAGTATTGTCAAACATTGATTATTCCGTTTGAATATCGATACTACCGAAACGATTAAAAAGATATTCGCTCAAATTGAAAGTCACTCGAAGTAAACACAAAATTGCGGGTTGCCAAACCTTGCAGACAAAATAACTTTGATGGCCGTGCAACCAAATTTACTTTTATTCTCTCCGTGCGTCTCTTGTAAAACATTGCCTCTGGCTACAGCAATATCAAATGCACAGAGGAATGTTAATCTAGCCAAGTTATTAACAAAAGAGAAAATCGATTAAAAGAATCGATCATCGCAGTTAGGCCGCGGCCAGAGTAGACGCGACACGCGACCAATTCAAAAGAATTTTATTATTTATTACTCTGGCCGCGGCCTTATCTATCTGAACGCTAGAAATGAATGCTTCCGCGCATTAGGGTGGGTCAAGTTTGTATAGTGGATCACAATTTTATGCTCCCACTGCTCTTTCGATCTGTAATAAGATTCCCAACAACAGTGCAAAATTGGAACGAATTTTGTTATGATTTGGATTTGCATGAGAACTTAAACGTGTGTATGGGAATCGGAACGAAACTATTCATTTGCACCCCAAAATAAAAAAAAAACTGTGATTTTTTACTAAACCTTACACATAGATTGGAAAAATTATACAAAACAACTTTATCGAAGACCGCAATTCAATATGAGCTTGTACGCATTCACGGAGAACTTGAACTAAAATAATCTGAGAGGGTGCCAGCCCCATATACGGTTTGAGATGAAATTCGTCTATTGTAGCTTTTGAACTAAACTATCATACCAAGCGTATTGATTCGTTCACGTCGGAATTATTGATATATATGATGTTTTCTGCTCTATAGGACGGAAATAGACGCATATGTCAAAGTAGTCCTACCATATAACCCAAGAGATTCAAGCAAAGATGAAAAATCATAAATATTCTTTAATTCTGATTAAAGAATGGGTTATGGGTTATTATTAATTCTGATTAAAGAATGGGTTATTCCGCGCGCTTAACGCGATAGTTAAGTCTTTCTATATAAACTTGGGAAGAAGAAAAAAGTAACCATCAAATGTATCATTTGATAGATTTTTTATCGTATTTTCTATAAAAAATTGTAATAATCAGTACCAAAATTTCAAAATTCATATCATTCCGCGCACTGATTCGAGCGATGTTTGTAATTCCGCTCAACAGTGCACCTAATTCCGCGCACTGAAATTTGAACTCTATGCTGGTTTTTAATTTGCTGGAAAGTAGTCTCACCACACTGTTTTCATTAAAAAGATGTGGAAATTACAATCAAGAGTCCTTATTCCAGGTTAATAGGGAGCGTGAATAAGGAACCGGGAATAAGGATACCCAACCCACAGCTTATGGGATTTTCACTAATAGGGGCTGTGGTGGATTATCTCATTAGTATCTATGTAATGCTGTACTGCCTACGACAAAGTTATTGAACTGGGTTAAACCAACAAGCTTGTGCCATTGTATATAGGTTTAATGGGGAATTATTCCGCTAGAGGCGCTTCACTGCATGCGAACTTCCTTTACAAGCTGTATTTCGAAATCCTGGTCATATAGAAGATTACTGTCTTGAGCTAAGTTGTTCAGATGACTATGGTCTCTCGGATGGTGGTCATATTAGCTCAGAACTCTTTCACTATGAGGTGCTAGCGTGCATGCGATCATCATGAATATGCTATGTCTCGAAGCATATCCCGTATAGTATGTTGCTGTGCAATGTGAGTATTTTCGGAACAGGAGTGACATGTAGAAGCTGAAAATCGATGGTGGACGCTATTTTGGAAACAGATGTCCGCCAGATCTGTTTTAGATAAACTGTCAAATACCCTTCAATATAAGTATTTCCGGAACAGGGACGACAGATAGAGGTCAAAATTGGAATCCAAAATGGTGGCAATTGGTTTTAAAAATACTGTCAAATATCCAACAATATGGGTTTTTCGGAACGAAAACAACCTGTAGTTGTATGTATGGGTATGTTTAGAGCGGGCACGACCTGTAGAAGTAGAAAATATTGCTGATTGCATCTGAAACTAGACTGCTTCAAAAATGCAAACAGTGTGGTAAAAGTGTATGTTTCGGTCAAAGCACTTATTGCTTGCATAATAATAAATAAGTGACCAAGACAAGTAGACGAAAATTCGAAGTTTAATAAATTTTTTTAATGAGTGTAGAGGTTTTAGAAAAAAAACTGTCAAATACCTTTCAATATCGGTATTATTCGAAAGGAGACAACGTGTAGTAGTCGAATATCAATGTCTGCCAGCATTTTGGATTTTAAGGTGGAGGCCATCGGTTTAAGAAATATTGACAAATACCTTGGATTTCAAAATGGTGATTTTTTACCTCTACACGTCCTACTATATGGCCAGGATTTCGAGATACAACCAATAGAGGAAGTGCATGAGCACTTTGCTCAAGACGGCAACTTTTCATATGTTTATGATCACGAGATATTTTATAGCATTCCTCAAAAGTAATATAAAATTAAACTGCCTCTAGTGGTGCAGTTCAAAATTATTATTTTTTACCTTAGCATGTATTTTTTCATATTTGCTGCACTATGTATTGAACCTAGTATAGATCACCTTTTACAGAGTGGCTGTTTAGGAGGTGTAGTGCATCACATTCAATACGGACATAATTCTTATGCATATGAGCAGAAATATGTACACCAACATATTTATTGCTCCCTTTTTCACGCACAACTACAAGGTGTGTCCCAAAGTAAACAGGACTTGCGTAATATATTGGCGGGAACAGGCATTGAAAAGGTACATTTTTCATGAAATCCTGTCAAAATTTCATGACAGTCGGATGAATAGAAGCCAAGTTATTGCGCCTCAAGTTAAAGTCTGTTTACAGTGTCGGTACAAAAATGTCGATCGAGCAAAGAGCCAATATTAAATTTTGTTTAAACTTGTCAAAAACTTTACGGAAACGTTTCAAATCGTTAAGCAAGTTTATTGTGATGATTGTTTATCCCATAGCAGAGTCCAAAAGTGGTATACGCACTTCATGAATGGTCGTGAAGACTTAAACGATGACGAACATGTTGGCCAGCCGAAATTCGTAATTACCGAGGAAGTCATCAAAACTTTGCGCGATTTCATCAAATATCACCCGAAATTGTCAGTGAGTTTTGTGGAAATGGAACTAAGTATCGTCAAATCAACAATTTATCGCATTTTGACTGAAAATTTGGGCCTCCGAAAGGTGTCCGTGCGATTTGTTCCGCACAAGTTGACCGACGACCAAAAATTGCTGAGAATTCATCATTCGAGATACATCATTAAGGAGTCAAGAAAGGACAAAAACTTCTTGTACAGCATTATGACGGGTGACGAAACGTGGTGTTTTCAATATGATCCATAAACCAAGTGTCAAAAATGCCAAGTTCGAAAAAAAAGCTATTTGGAGAAGTCAAAAGTGAAGACAATGTTGATTTGTTTCTACGATTCGAAGGGGATTATTCATAAAGAGTTCGTTCCAACTGGCCGAACGGTTATTGCTGTATTCTACCTTGATGTTTTGAAGCATTTGATGCATCGTATTCGGCGAATTCGGCCCGAATACCGCGAAGAAGGAAGTTGGCGCTTGTTGCACGATAATGCTCCGTCTCATCGGTCGACGCTTGTGACTGATTTTTTTCTGAAAAATCGCGTTTTAACCATCAATCATGGCCCGTATTCGCCTGATTTGGCACCGTGCGACTTCTACTTGTTCGGAAAATTACATGTGGCGATGCAAAGAAAGCATTATAAGGACATTGAAGACATCCAAAAGGCTTGTATTTCCATCCTGAAGGACATCCCTATCCAGGACATGAAACACTTGTTTCATATGCTTTTGAATCGTGCAAATCGTTGTATTAAGTCCGAAGGGGGCTATTTTGACAACAATCAAGTCGATTTTTTTTCCATGATTTGTTTTCGTCGATCTTGTTTTTCGTGCTGAGCACCAATGCTACCGACGCCAGAGAGGTAGCTCCCACATCCGAACCCTACCTATCGACCCATCACCTCATGAACCGGGGACCAACGGCTTTACTTCCCTTCCGAAGGAAGGCGTGATCAGAAATGTTATGCCTCAGAACATCCCAGCGGTGCCGAATGGGATTGAACCCAGGCCTGCTGGGGTGAGAGGTAATCACGCTAACCACTACACCACCGGCGCTGCTAGCGTGATCAGAGATGTTATGCCTCAGAACATCCCGGCGGCGCCGACTGGGATTGAACACAGGCAATCACGCTTACCACTACACTACCGGTGCCGCTAATTAAGTCGATTCGTCGAAAGAATAAGTCTTTGCTCTTTTTTTTTAAAGTCCTGTTTACTTTGGGAAACATCTGGTATTTCTTGCAATTAAACCATGATTTGTCTTTTTTTTTGAGTTTTACATGAAAATGACAGAGAACATTGGTTTTTTTCTTGTTCAACAACTTTTCACTTCAAAACACGCGTGTAAAATGGTGAAGCAAACAGTTATTTACGAGATAGTATCTTAGCTTAAAAGCTAACAGATTCTGTTGAAATGACGTGTTTAGAATTATTCGTTCAATATATGTTTGTTCTGTCAGTTGCACAGAACATAATATGGGCACATCATAATACATATTTACACGTTAGTTTTAACCATTTACATGAGCTATACCAAATGGATTGCGGAATTACAAGCTGCGTGGAATAACCCACGATCACGGTAGTTCGAATTATATTTTCAAGTCATGGGAAGTCTGCAAGTAGATAATAAATCTGAAAACCTGGCATCCCTGAATAAATGAATGAATGAAAAGCTCCCGCCGACCGGAAGGAGAAATCTCCCACCCAACCCAGTGCAAACTTACTCATTTTGCAGGTCGATGTCGGCACACTGCTGCGGGAGCAGATGGCGATGAACTTCGGTATGATTTTGCTGGCACGCGTGATCTCCATAGTCGAGTTCGATGGCGGTTGCCTTCGATGTGACTCCAATCAGATAGTGGCCAAGTTCGCCGGCGATGTAACCGATCGTCAGTACTGCAAGCACGTACGGTTTGTAGAGAAATCTCAGCTTGTCCACCAGGGGCTGCATTTTTCTTGTGGTTATTTACAATTTGTTCCGGCGTGTTCTGAAGTTAGTGGCTTTATCTGAAAATGAGGAAAGAATGCAAACATTCTTGATTAATGTACATACATTACATGCATGATGGAAAACTGCAGATCGTGATTCGCAATGCGCAAGTAATTTCAATTATTTTTATCTTAATTGCGTAATTTTTGAATAACTTAACAATCACACATCATTACACCAACCAAATGAGCTAACCATATTCCGCCTAATTGGTCGCATACATTCATCAACTGCACACATCATTCGTAGCAGCTCGATCAAATCACAACAAACGGTTTAATTGTACACCTCTCGTATCGTCATCATTACGGAGATCGCGCCAAATAAATTTTATTAGCTAACTCAAGTGTCTGGCTGGAGTTGGAATAATTCTCCATGCGACGCGTCGGGAATATATGGGTAGGTACAGGTTGTTCCGATTTCATCTAGAGTAGATAAATTCACGGGAATGAGTGTATTGAATGCATTGTCGCCGCCATCGTCGTCGTCGTCGTTGGGTCATATTACATAAATGAATCGTGATCGATTAATTATTAATTCTATGCCTTTTAATGCCAATCAGATGGCAGCAGAGCGAGCAAAATCAATCAATCGAACCGCCTGCGAATGTAAATCAATGCTAAGTGGATGGTTATATTTACATTTTACAGATGCAGCGTGTCAGTCAGTTAAGGGAGGCCATATGAGTATGTCATAGAAAATCCAACAAAATTGATGGCAAAGTTAAGATAATCTGTACTTGAGGTTTAGCAAACAAATGCATGACATGATTTGAATTCAACAAGGAAGGCACCGGTGGTTCTGACTTCAATCCTAGCCGAGGTCGTTGGGATTTTCTGAGGCAATCTATTTTTTTTTAAATTCTGCAGCCCCACCACTTATTGGCATGTCGCCACCAACGCATCGGCACCAGTGAATACCTATAATAGAGGTGGGAAGCACATTGGATTTATGGCGTGAATTTTTCGATCACTCACTCACGGAAGTCCACACCGGTAGAGATTGGTAGTTTATTGTCGTAAAGAATAGCATCAGGCTAAACTGAATTGCACCAAAACCAGATAATTTAATTATTTTATTGCTTGTGCGTCGCTGTTCCTTTTGATTAATTGGAAATTTACTGAGTTTCATGCAAATCGTTTTGAGATTTATTAGCGGATTCTAGACTCATGTTATAGCTAATGATGCTTCGTTTTAAAATAAGTACCGTAAAACGGGGGGAAGTTGTTCACTTTTTTTACAGATAAACCTGAATATTTAACTCGCCTAATTGTACGCAATTAATTATCAGTTATTCGCATAAAATCATTTTTATGATCTTAAATTGTTCGTTTTAACAAAATCTGATTCCAGATTCGGTTCCAGTGAACCAAAATTTAGTAAAATAAATGATTTTGCCGGACAAAGCACCAGAATAAATGCTGTTTATGATCGGATTTCGAAGAGCAATTCAAAGTTGCATATTTTATCGCTTTCACAAAATGTATCTACCTTTCTTTATTAAATAGACTTTTCCACAAAATTGTAAACATAGAGCGATATAATGCATCGGTTGATAGGGAAAACGTTTTAAAAGTATTATTTAAATCTACTTAAGAGAACACTGAGCAAATTATTTCATAAACATTAATTAGTAAGAATTGAAAATTGAACGGTGTAGTGATCAACGTCGCTTCAACGATCAATTTCATCCCGTTTTACGGTACCATGTGACTATTCCTTTTCACAAGTACGCATTTTGACGGACTAATCTGCTGAGGTTTCCTTTGTTTAAATTAGCATTGTATTTTCCTGTACACGCGTTTTCCGAGAAGGGAAGTTTGCTAAAAACTCGTTGAACTTGCAGCAAAACACAAACTAAAATCACGTTTCAGTTTCGAAATGTACGCAACACATAACTATCACGTGCGATTAGATTTATCCCCTCTAATGACTATGAGAAATCAGTTCTTCATCAATGCTAAGCGATTAATGTCTGTCTGAGTGTTTGTTATCTGAATGCGATTGTTAACGCGTATGGGCATTTTTTGTTAGTGTTCAGATGCACATTGAGATATAATTTGTGATGAATGGATAAGAACTGTTTTAATTACTTGGAAACACTGACTGTATGGAGCGATAATAACAATGTGGATAATAGCTTCTAACCAGTTGTGAATTATATTAATATTACTAATGTACTGATCTGCTCAGTTCTATTCATATGATGGTTACCTACTTCACTCACGGTGCGATTATCTAGAAAACCATCAGACAAGATTCTTGTTGATTTTTTGTAATTTCTTGGGTCATTTGGCCGAAGTGCTGAAATTGCTCTTAGTATATCTCGTAGGTTCCTAGAATTGACGAATTCCATCCCAAAGCGTCTATTGAATGGGCAGCACCTCCTCAGATTCCAATTAAGCTCTGTGGGTGTTAAGACTTTAACTAGCTAAGCAACTTAATGTACTTGTTCTAAAAAAAAAAAAAATAGATAATTCAAGACAATTTTCTAAAAAATCCTTCATTGACTAAATGTTTGTAGAATTTATTAATTAAAATTATATTTTTTGATAAAAAAAATAATGGGAACATATCATTGCTTTTTAAATGGTAATCTAGATTTTCTTTCTAAGAAAACAAGTAGGGTGACCGCTTTTGGAAGTAATTATACAATTTATGGGAAAAAAGTGTGATTTAGTTACAATAAATGGTTAATTCATCAGGCCACCACAAAGAACTGAATGTTTTTGTCAATACAAATCGTTGTACAACGCAATTTGACAAACAAATAATCAGGAAATATCACAAACGCTTTTTATTTTATATTGGACCACCGACCAACCACATGCCAACCTTTTCTTCTTCAAGCCGCTTGTGGAAACATATTTTTAACCAAGTTTGGAACATATTTTGGACCATCTGATTGTGCTAGTTAGCACGCATTGCGAAAATATGTTTTCTCTATACAATGACAATCATATTTTCGCTAAGCAGCAGATCACTATTTTAACACATTTTATCGCTTCTTCGAGCTAAGGATTTAATTGACGCAATTACCAGATTCGAATGTTCAAAATGTTTAAAATGTTAAAAAACTCTTGAAAGTTGGGTTGAATTATACCACCTCCTATTGATTTCGAACCGATTCAGCACCATTGTGAAAATGCGTGTGCATATTTTCAATTTATTACCACTAAATGAAACATTTAACTGAAAACAAACATGGAAGACGCTAAGTAGTGTAATTATTTTCATGTAACTGTCACTTTATTCTAAAATTTTAATAATTTTATGTGATAAAATACGCAAAATATTGGCCAAATCCATAATACTATGGGGAGCTTAACTGCTCGTAATGTTAAATCCTCCGGCATTTTAAATATTTCAGTTTTGAATCATAAAACTTCTCTTGTTCCAGAATCTTAAAAAAAACTGTATCTCACTCCGGAATCTAATCAATCTAAAACTTAAAAAAAAGTATGAAAAGTGAAGAATAATCAGAAAACTCGGAAGCTTATTTATTGTTCGAATCTTAACATTTTTCTATATCGGTGATTCTAAAAGCTTGTCAAAAGAATTTCTATACATCCATCTAAGAAATTTCCTCTTATGAAATCCATCTGAATAAAGGGTGATACGGTCAAAATTTGGTCAAGGGAAAACGCGTGTAAATCGGTGAAATCGTTTATTTAAAAAATCAAATTAAATTTCTTTTTCAAGTTCAATTAGTATAAAATTCAGGAAAAATATTCAGTTAGGCTTCCGCTTTTCCAAATCCGAATTGCCGGGCCTTACGTTTGACTCCTGCCATCAGATTTTGTACAGCCACCTTGTCCACCTTCTTCGCCGCAGAAAGCCAGTTTGCCTTGAACTGCTGCTCGCCCTTAGCAGTTTTTTTGGTCTTCTTTAGGTTCCGCTTGACAATAGCCCAGTATTTCTCAATTGGGCGGAGCTCTGGCGTGTTGCGAGGGTTCTTGTCCTTGGGAACCACCTGCACGTTGTTGGCGGCGTACCACTCCATGGCCTTTTTACCGTAATGGCAAGATGCCAAATCCGGCCAAAACAGTACGGAACAACCGTGTTTCTTCAGGAAAGGCAGCAGACGTTTATTCAAACACTCTTTCACGTAAATTTCTTGGTTGACAGTCCCGGAAGCTATGAAAATGCTGCTTTTCAAGCCACAGGTACAGATGGCTTGCCAAACCAGATATTTCTTTGCGAACTTTGACAGTTTCATGTGCTTGAAAACATCTGCTACCTTTCCCCTTCCTTTTGCCGTATAAAACTCCTGTCCCTGAAGCTGCTTGTAGTCGGCTTTGACGTAGGTTTCGTCGTCCATTACCACGCAGTCAAACTTCGTCAGCATCGTCGTGTACAGCTTCCGGGATCGCGCTTTGGCCGTCGTATTTTGTTTATCATCGCGATTTGGAGTCACTACCTTCTTGTAAGTCGATAGTCCGGCTCGTTTTTTGGCTCGATGCACGGTTGTAGACGATACACCCAGCTTATTTGCGGCATCTCGGAGAGAGAGGTTAGGGTTTCGCTTGAAACTACCGGCAACTCTCTTTGTCGTCTCAGCGGCTTCCGGTTTTCGATTTCCCCCCGATCCAGACTTCCTGGCTGTCGACAAACGTTCCCAGCGCTACATTTGTAACGGTTGATTTGGCAACTTTTAGCGATTTTGCCAACTTTGCGTACGAGTAGCTCGGATTTTCGCGATGCGCGAGCAAAATTTTGATACGCTGCTCTTCTTGCTTGGACGGCATTTTGACAACTGAAGAGTGAATTCCAAAATCAAAATAGGAGCAACATTCTACACACACACACCTTCAAAATGAGGGGTGTTCAGGTTTTTTAAATGCAAAATTGAAAGAAATACGTCAAGTTGATATTGACCAAATTTTGACCGTATCACCCTTTACTGCCTATCGCTCTGGTATTCCCTTAATTTTCTTCACAATGCTGTAGGAATTATCTACATGGAACTATTCAAATTCACTATAAAATACTATTCAAATACCAAAATTCTCGTTTG